TTTTCTCTATAACTATAATGTCCCTTGTATAAACATATTAAATGAGTATCTTAAAGACCCATCATTCATTTCCTTTACTGAGGTACATATGTTGACAATTCTCACAGAGACAGCGAAAGACAACACACTCTACTGTGTTGATTTTAATAAGATATGGTATGCTTAGCAGTGTTTGGGATATGTACTTTATACACCTTTACTTTGATTCTATAGGAAGAAAGGATTTGGACTGAGAAAGACTGCTTAACCACATACATCCTCTAAGGCAGAGAGCATTTTGTTGGGTGTGGCTTTCCAAGAGTTGTTAACAAATAACTTTTAATGTGATAAAAATGGGAAATTATTAAATATGTAATCAGAGAGTACTCATACAATTAACCTCAAATATAAAGAAATTACATTTTGTTTTTGCCTGTTCCCACCCACCAGTTTTTCAAGTGTAGCACATCGCTTTCAAAACCCAAGTATGGCCTTCAGTCTAGAAAAAGTTATGCACCCTGGTCATAGACTACGCTCCCTTGTCTTAATTCCTGACAACTCCTAACAGGATTAACTATTACTTGAAATATGATCTTTATGCCAGTTGGCTGCTCAACCAACACAGCTGTACCCATCACATTCTTTAAGTTGTAAAAGGACGGTCTGCCTAGCAACTTAAGTGGTAAAACAGAAATTGTGCTCAGAGGACTCATGATTAAAAACATACTTTTCTAGAGTCAATTAAATTCATACCTTTTGGGCTCAATGCTAAATGACAAGAAATAGCAGGTACAGCATTACATTCTTTTCTGGTTTCACAAAGGATGCACAAATATACAGATAAATGTACCTTTTACTTAGTTACTACAATATAAAACCTGTTCACTTTTGTACCAGGAAGTTCTGTCATTGTAGGTATAGGCAGAGATTTAGTATCAAATGAAGATACATTAATATGAATCCTTCAAACAATGGATTTGTTTAGCTTTTCCAGGACTTTCTGTTCCATTTGTTTGATACAATTACAGGTAGCTTGTCAAGCACTGTAACTCAGCAGGTCTTTTTAAAGTGCAAGCATGTTCAAGATGCTCACTGATTGTTTTATGCTACAATAGTGCAAGACCACCACAGAAATATTGTTAAAAGATGCACATTTTTTCAGTTATATGCCAAAAAATAAATGTCATTACTCTCACCAGACAGAGAGCAGGTTTGCACCATCGTGTCAGATGTTATATGATAAACGAATATAATCATCCCACTCACCTGTACATTTTCTTCTGTAACCGTAATTTCCCCTGTGTAAACATATTCAATGAGCATCTTAAGGGTCCAACCATCAACTTCTTTTATTCGAACTTTCTTTGCTTGACTTTCACTCATTTCACCTGCAAAACAGATTTAATTCAGACATTGGCAAATGGAATAAACATGCTGCAATTTATCACACATGATCTTATCAGGGAGCAAAAAAAAAAAAAGTAATTCCATGGTCTTTAAAACATGGAATGGCAATATAGCACCCATGGGTGCTGAAGTGCCCTCTAGATCCCCACCCACTCTAGCCAAGAAGTACTCTTAAGCCCTTAAGGTTGCTAAAATTTTGCAAAACTGTGATCTTGGCATCACCAAGAGAATACTGAAAGCCTTGCAGGATTTTGACATCTTAGATAAGATTTCATAATTTTCCAACTTTGTAGCGGTAAAGTGTACAACCACAATTCAAAAGCACCAGGGACCAAAAAAGACGTTGATCTCTGTTCTTAAGGAAGAGAAATAAACTGATTCTCAAACATTATTCTACATGGATATTTCACAAGATAAATCCATTCCCAAACAATCTTGAAATACTGAATAAATTTGGAATTAAAGAGCAATAATGAAGCTTAATTTTACCTCCTGTTCAGATTACATAAATATTTTGAAAGACTGGGTGCAGAAAAGTGCCACTGTTGCTCATAAGCTGATTGTTGGAAGCTTAAACGCTGAATTGGACTTATAGGATATGATAACCATATATAGAAAAAACTAGAATTTTAATAAATATTGGAATATACACCAATTTGATCAATTCAATTTATATGTAAAGTGATTTTTAAAGAAATTTCAGAAATTACAAGCATTAATCAAGAGGATTAATATTAGCAGCAATTTGATTTTTTGTGGAATAAAACAATTTTATCTCTATGCAGATATAAGAAGACACCTTACTAACTTGTGGAGGCTGGAACAGGACTATCTGTGGTACCAGAATGGATGTTTATAAAAGAATTCAAAACAAATCTCAGATCTTTTTTCTGATGCATATCCAGTATCTATTGGTTAACAATGGAAAATGCCTACAATGGTTTTTCTATCCACTGTGTTAGAACACCAACTTGAACTACAAGCAAGTGATTGTTAATACAAAGAAAACAGATCCTTCTCTAGCTTTATAACATCAGCAGCTGGCTGATTCCCAAACTAACCAGATCTGATATCTCACTTTTTTTTCTGAGACCTTTTCTGAGTAGAGCATTAACTTCCACATCTCTCCGTGTGTGTGAGCTGCCAACACTCTGCTTGCAAGCCTCCTATGATATCAGAGCATCTCATCTACTGACAATGAAATGTAGAATTGACAGAACATAAAACTGCTGTGGTACTGATGCAGTTTTATCCTTCTCTTTCACTGCTGTTTTAATTATTTGATATATTCATTTGGTTTTCAACTATTTTTATTGTATTTTTTAATTTACTGTATATATATTTAGAAGCTGCTATGAGGACTCAAAGGGAAGCAGAGAATTATTCAGCTACATTAACCACCTGTCATAACATCCAATTACTTTTATTTATACACATTTCAGGAAAGCATAAATTACCAACCAATCCTTAACAAATAAGAGAATCTAACATTTTAATTTTTTACCTAAATCTCTATCTTTTAAGAAATACTGCAGCCAAAAATAATTACTGTTTGAAACAGAAGAATTGTTTTTTAAAAAGAGGCACTTGGTTCCGGAGATGCTATTCATACTCACCAGATGAATGAATGTTTCTTCAAATACACTGAAGGTGATTAAACTGACTGACTTAACAATCACTTGCAAACCAATTTACTTACCTATCCTGAATAAACAGCACAGTTGGTACAGAGCATGAGCAGCCAAAACCCCAATTGGCATAAAAAGCTTTATGCCAAAACATAGTCCAAGCACCTGAAGCTGGATCAAAAAAGCACTAAAATATGCCCTCCAACAATAAGATATAAAGCTATCATCCTCCACCCACACTAACTTTTTCAACTTCCAAATATTAATAGTTTCTCAATCTGTCTCCCCTCTTCCGTGTATTTTCTCTGCTGCAGTCTTTCAACTTTCTAGTTCAGCAGTTTATACACCACATTTTACTAATTAATGGTCACACCATGGATTACTAGCAAGAAAAAACATATAGTCTCCAAGGTGCAGCTTCTGCTTCTAGAAATCAGCTTCAAGAGCAAGGTTTATTCGTTAAAGCCTTTTTAAGTCCACTCTGCATATTTACATACAGCACAGTGATGTCTCAAGGAAAGCCCCATTATATGCCTTTCAAAATGGATTGTGAAATAGTTCAACTGCAAAAGACAAGAAGAAAAAACCAGGTACCTGTAAACATGGCATGGAAATAGGGACTGCAAGATGCTAATACAACTCGATGAGCTGCAATTTCCATGTCTTCAGCCACTATTGTCACATCACATAGTAAGTTTTGACTATTAAGAAGAGACAGAACAAAAATAATCTTATACCGCAGGAAGGATAATCATGGCCCAGTTTGTTACAGGCGATTGTGCAGCAACAGCAAGTTCTGGTAAAGCCCATAAATATTGCATGTTCATATCCAACAAGTTTAATAAAACAAGCAGCTGATAACCAATATATAGATTCTTATCATTCTCCTTGCTAGGAGTGCTATTGAGCCTATCTTTTTTTTTATTAAGGAAAGGGCCTGCAATTTTTTAAAAACCTGATCGGGCTTGCAAAAGCAAAGCTTAAGTGCTGTGAAAACTCACTTCAAGCTTTGGACCCCACTTTGTCTGTGCAAGCCACCAGATTTAAGAACCCCTGTGTTAGAAAGATTAAAATTTAACAATTAAAACAGGAACATTTATTTCTTGCCCAGTCTTATCCCTGATAAAAATCATTACTTTTATTCATAGGAGGGGTTGCATAAATTTATCATTATCAATAGTAGCAGAAAGCTTGAGAACGCCTGCTGCCATATACAATTCCCTTGTACACATACTACTTCATCCTAACAAGCTTACTTGTATCACAAAAGTACAGCAGACGTATAAGAACAAAAACAAGGAAAATTTCCAGCAATTAAGCAGAGTTTATTCTCTAATTCCAGGATGAGAAACTTGAATTATGACTTCCAGTATCTGTTAACAACTGGCCACGTGGAAATTGTTGTTCAATGCTATCTAAAGGCTACAGCTTCCTCCACTTTGTCATGCTACTAATAGCAGGATTTTTCACTTTATAAACAAATAGGCTTACAGTATGCCAAAAAAAGAGGTCTGCAGTACAACTTCATAGATAGCTCTTACTCCTTGATAATATAGGCTTATCCTTGAAATAATGTAGTACTAGGACCATTAAGAAACCTAATTTTCATCTTCAGTCTACAGCAAAATATTAGGTTGTGAAATCATTTTGCTAGGCTTCCTAATCATGCTCATTAGGAAAATTGTCTCTATTTAAGGAATAATTGATATGATTAAATCTTGTTATACTGAATAATCATCCAAAATGGATTATAAACAGCAAATAGCTAAGATTTAGTTTGGTCACATCTCTAATTGTAAAGCATAATGGATACAGTATGCAGTATAATGAACAAATAATACAGCTCCAGAACAGAATATCTCACCAATGTATTCTAAAAAGTTTTGTAGAGGCAGGCCTTATCAAGATTTTGTATACATCCATAACATCTGTAACTTTGATGAATGTAGGTCCTTGCTATTTTCAGCAGAAGAACAGGGAAAATATATAGATAAAATCAAAATCCCACAGATTGCTGTTTTCCTGTTCTCTAAGAAATCTGCTTCCATACATATCAGTAAAAACTAAGGCACACAAAAACATGTCCTTGAATATAACAGAAATTAAATTCTCCATAAGCTATGGCTTTAGTTCAGCCTAGTTCAATTCAAAGGTTAAGGCAACCAGATGAAAAGGGAGAAAATGTTATGATAGCATGTTTTGGAAGGTTCCATGTAACGCAGAAATCTCATGTGCCTGTAGGACTAAGATTACAGAAACAGGCTGTTGCACATGTTAACTGGAGACATTATTCTCATTTTCCAGATGTAGAAGCAAGGAAGAAAAATAGCAGAAATCACATGTACAATTAAGTAGAGTCAAAAACTAAGCACTCCAAGATATTCATCCAATGCTCTGGTTCAGGAATAACAAGTTCCCTTCAAATAGGAAGGGTTGCAATTCTCAGAAATCCCAACCAGAATGCCCAATACATTCTTAGAATATCACCTTTTGGGAGGCTGCTGTAGTTACAGAAACAAGACCATGTACTGTTTTATTACAGGCAGTCCTTGACTTACAACCACAGTTGGGACCAGAACTTCTGTCACTATGCAATGCAGTTGTTAAATGAGTTGTGCCCGATTTTACAAACTTTTTTTTCATGGTCGTTAAGTGAATCACCACAGTCATTGAGCAAATCTGGCTTCCTCCATTGACTTTGCTTGTCAGAAGCCCCCTGGGAAGGTCACAAATGGCAATCACATGACCCCAGGATGCTGCAACCATCATAAATACATGGCATTTGCCAAGCGCCCACATTTTGATCACGTGACCATGGGGATGCTGCAACGGTCATAAGTGTGAGGACTGGTTGTAAATTGAGGACTACCTGTATTTGGACTCACCTTATAAGGAAATCTGTCATGTTTCAAAGCACCACATATTACTAAGAAAGACAGCAATCACAAAAAGGCAAAATATCATTAAAATATTACAAAATATATTAAAAAAGCAAAATATCTGTGCATCATAAAAAATCATTTCATATTAGTTGCCAAGAATGTGTGTTAGGCATCTTGAGTGTGTCCACTGCATGTATCTCCTAGCTGAAGATGTGAAGGCAATAGTATTTTGGCTCATAAGATAGTCTTTAGATCAGAGATCTTAGCTTGCCTAGAATAGTGAAAGGATATGTAGGATAAAGCAGGGCTTTTCTTGTGCCAAAACTGACCAGTACTGTCCTTACCTTTAACAGGAAATGCTGCATGTGTTATGAGTACAGACTAGCTTTGGAGACCTGCATCTGTGCCTGTCAATTGTACAGAGGAAGAATAATGGCATTCTACTGAAGAGAAAAGTAGTTAACAGTGAATGCAGAAAGTACAGGGCAATTAGTCTGTTAAGTGTGTCAGGGAAGATGTTCATTACCTCATGCACCAGTAGATCAGAATTCTGTCATTAAGCAAGACTTAGGAACTGCAGCGCAGCTTTATGCCAGGCAGTAGGTATACAGACAAGGTTTTTGCTGTCCCTGAGAAATGTATGAAGAAGAAATGTGTGTTGTGTGCTTTGCTAATTTAGACAAAGCATATGATAAAATGAAAATTCTTGAATTATGGGATGTTTGGACAAATATGGAGTTGAAAATAGATAGTGGAATGCAGTAAAAGTAGCATACAATGGAAGCAAATCATGTATAAGAATAAGTGGAATATTTAATGAATGGTTCATCACTAAGCAGGGAGTAAGACCTTGGTCCCCTTGTTTAATGCATTTATGGATAAATGTATACAAAATGCTTATGACGACATTAGAGCTTGGTTAGTTGGGGGCATGAATGTGTGTATTTTATTGTATAGTTTTATCCATACTGCTCATACTTAGCTTTCTCTTTGAAAATGTTCACATCAACACAGGAAAATCTGGTGGCCAGACCCCAACATATCAAAGCTAGCAGCTTATTGGTCATTGGCAGGAAACATTTAAAATAAATAAATGGCATAACAAAAAATTAACAATAGTTTCTTTAGTCACATGCCAAAAACAGGTGAGAGTGAAGGCAGAGGATATATGAAAGACACAACGCCTAAATTGTTCAAGCTATGAGTGCACAAGACAGTGAAGAAAAATAGGGGACCTACCCAAAATAGCAGCACCTACAAAGCAGTGGATAGGAGCACAATTAGTGGAGTAGTGACCCAATGGTGGTCTAGTAGTATCTTATCACCACTTTTGTTCCTGTAGTCCCCCACTACCCTCAGAGAAGAAAATATCATCTTTAAGACTTAGTCCCATCATTGTCTATCCACAAGTCTTATCCTCACAGGAATACTTCCATAAGAAATGTAATTTTTCAGGGCAGAGAGAATGACATGACACCCCTAATTTATAATATTTAGCCATAGTCAGCGTTTGAAGACAGATTTGTCACTAATATAGAGCTAGAATTTCTGCCATCCAGAACAGTTATATTATGCAGCTCAACTTTCCCCTTCGAAATCTTATCAACTACCTTTGGAGAGAAAAATAACCACTACATACAATACAATGACCAGACCAGCATTTCATTTAAATACTGCAACTTCATTTTCAACTTTGTATTCCAACAAAGTTGGAACACAATTCGAAAAACTATTAAAGAGACTGCATGCCTTTGAAGAACAATACCTTCTTAATTCATTCAGAACTTTAAAAGCTTTCTTCATGTGCCAAGGATTCACTGTAACAGGACAGTGTTTTTCAGTATTATCATCTTTCAAATCCAGAGGTTTCTGCTGGCATAATTTGGTACATCTGAAAATAAAAAGGATAATTTAATTGTTAGATTGGTGGCAAACTCTCATGCACTAAGTTATTATTACTGATGCTACACTGATTAGGTGTGTATGTGTGTTTTTATTGTTCCAATATATTATTGTTATATAGCTTCTATAAGTTGCTTTAGTGTGCTTAACTGAAGTGGGATAAAGGCACTTGTAATACATTCATAGTTCCTTACAGTTCTGCAACTAAGCCAAGTGAAATGTGTTTTTAGCTTTGACTATGCCTTTGAGCCTTAGAATGAACAACTCAACTCCCAAGTGAAATCCACACTAGGAACAGCCCTAAATTTAAACATCTACAATCTGATTAAAGCATTGATAAGAGATTGAAGTAGCTACCAATTAAAGACACTAAATTAAAGTTAGTGTTAACAGCATATAATGAAAAAGGCAAAGCATCATTTGTTCTTTAATCAGGTCTGAAAGAAAAAAAAAACAGTGCCATTTTCCTGCCAATGAATCACTATAACAGAAATAAATACTGTAACCCATTTTATCATATGTTAATACATGGTTTAATATCTTATAGAAGGGATGGGGAACTGTAGCTCCTAGAATACCTTTACCACTAGCTGGACTACCTGGAGCTTGCAAGCTTTTGTAGTTCAGCAATACTTGCAGGAACACAATATATCCAACCACGTCCTACAGCTTGACATTCAAACAAAGATACCACCACAGAAATGGCAAAGCTGATCAGTAAAAATATCTTATTTGATCAAAGAGAGCTGCTCTGTAACCAAAACTGTCATTTTAATAATTTATTAATAGGGAAAGAACAATTTCTCCCAACTTAATATATTCTATGCATTCAACTATAGCTTTCAGAATAGCCAGTCAGCATGACCATTGGCCATCAGGATGATGGGGAATCCTGGGAATTCTAATTCAACATGCCTGAAGGGCATGGGCTTGGTGAAGGTGTGATCGTAGCAAAAAGCAAACAAAAGCACCATTCCCAAATTTAAGCTACTACACTGACTGCTGGTATGTGATGAAAGATCCATCACGGCACCTGCAAAACTGCTTACTAATCATCAGAGCATTTCTTTGTAACCATTTTTGGAAGCCTCTACAACAAGGATTGGGTCTATTTTGCCCACGAATAATTTAAGAAAAAAAATGTTCACTTAAATCAAGATTTCTATGGACGTATCACTACATATTTTCGAAATAATAATGGCAATTGATCACTTAAACAATGGTAATTAGAAAAAAAAATCATTTCCACAATTTGATTTTTACAGGTTCATTGCATTTCATACATTTTATATGCGAGAACAATTTAGTGCTACTGGGTGACAATAAAAAGTTTGGTGGATAAAGTAGAAGTATTTCTAGAATGACTTTTTTTTCTTTTCTCCTTTAATTCATTTAGAAGAGGCATTCATTCAATCTAGAGGAATAAAAATGATAAATCGGATCTAACTATCTCAGAACATTTTAAATAAAATCCACCCTTTAATTAACCATTGATTTTCATCCACCCTTTTATCCCTCTAAAATTAGCATGCTCACATTTCCTTTAAATCTAAAAAATGGAAATACATGCTACCAAGTTGTCATACTTTAAATTTGTTAAAAGTATTCAGTTTTTTTATGGGTAAATCATTCATTTTCTTACCTAACATTTAAATGATTAAATATTTTAAATTTAAATAATTTTAGTTTAGATAGTCTGGACTATTAAAAAAATTGAAGGTACTGATAAGCTGTATAAGATTTTTAAAACATTGAGTTAAATTTTGTAAACTTGATTAAATGGAATTTTAGTCAGTTTAAGGCAGTTCTCATTTTTCCCATGTGAAGCTTTAAAAAAAAACCTTGAATTCTCAAGTTTAACAGTACTGACTAAAGAAAAATGGCACATAACACACAGAGGTTTGAATTAAGACATGGATTTGGTTTCTTCCCAAACTGTTTTCCCTGTCCTCTGTCAAGAAACATTAAGAAATAAATACAAAACCACAAGAGAAAAAAGTGTTAAGAGAACAGGGAGGGAGTCAAATCATACACTGGGACAAAAGATCATCAGCCCTGACTATTTAATCATAATGAAATAATAGTCTTGATTAGCCTTCAGTTTAGGAATGGTAAACTGTTTGGAAATTCTGCAAGTTGTGGTTTCAACATACGTGAAGGGAACAAGTTGAGGAAGGCTGAACTAATATTGGTTCTTTCCAGAGACATCCCTCAGTTTAATCTCGTCAACTGTTTAAATATTTGGCATTAACTAAAGACACAATGGAGTGTACAAGTGTTCAAGTTCTCCATCAGTTCAGCAAAACGTTAGAAAAAGCTGGAGAAGAATTTGAAAGCTTACACACTTCTTTTTGTCATTTTTAACTTCTTATACAAGTATCCAAACTGTAGGCTTTGAATTTTTCTGATGGATCAACACAACATTGTTTTCAAGATTATTAGATACAAGTAGGCAACCTGAAGCCCCATGGCCATATACAGCTCTTGGAGACATTCATTTATGGTCCTCAGATCTTCTCCAGCCAGGTCATTATACTTCAAACACATGGTTTCCTACCATTCTGAGGCCAGAAATGCATGAAAACTAGTCGAAGCCTTAAATAGTCTTAAGTACCGGTAGTCCTCTACTTACAATGACAATTGGGACTAGAATTTCTGTTGCTAAGCAATGCAGTTGTAAAGTGCGACATTGCTTAGTGACGGCAATCCCGGTTGCCGTCGTTAACTGAATCCTATGGTCATTAGGTGAGGCAACTTCCTGCTGGCTTCCCACAATCAAAGTCAGTGGGGAAAATGGCAGGAAGTTGCAAGTCCCGGGCCAGCATGTAAGTGACTGCTGCCAGTTGGGTGAGGGAGTGAGGGGATGCATGGGGATGCGCGAGAGGTCCCATGTGGGTTGGGGAGGGTGTGCAGGGGTGTGGCGCAGGTCGGATAGGGTGAGCAGGGATATGCAAGTGGCCAGCATGGCGCAAGTGCAGAGGGGATGGGGAGGATGTGTGGGTGGGGGAGACTTACCCCAGCAACATGTGATCTTCCCTGCCGGCTTCCCCACTGACTTTCTGGGGAAGGAAGGAAGGTTGCAAATGGCAATCACATGACCGTGGGGTGCTTGGCAACTGGTCATAAGTGTGAACAGATTGCCAAGGGCCCAGATCACGATCACATGACCACAGGGGTGCTGAGATGGCCATAACTCTAAGGACCAGTTATAACCACCATTCATTCAACACTGTCGTAACTTTGAATGGTCGCACGTTGAAGACTATCTGTAAAGATCCTCTGAAGTCAGGCTCAACTCTGATCACCACACATCTTTTTCTGTTGCAACATTCTGAAGGTGTTTGCCACTGCCTTGTTCCAGGATTTGTTTTTTTTTTCTGCCTAGTCCCATCCATAACACCAGGATTTCATAATGCCTTTTATCTAAGGACTAAGTCTGACTCTATTTAGCTTTTTCAAGTTGAGTCAAGACAATAGATATACCTGGGTTGCCTAAAATAGGCTTAACACATTTAAAAAAGTAAAACAAAATCCTGAACATTTGTCTGGAAAAAGAAAAAGGACATCAACTTTGCCTCATTGATTCTTTCACTGCACCTTGATTTCTCCAAAAAGGTTATTTGACCCCTGGCCCCATAATTTATCCATGCACGGTCTACAGTCACTAGAAATTAATACTTGCCCAGGGAGATCTAGTTATCCAACTGTTGCTTTCACTGTATGCATTCACAAAAGATAATTTCATAAGACAAAAGCCCTCACCAAGTAAACAATAATTCTGTATTCTATTAAAATAAAATAGTTTTCCCATCTATTAGTCTTCTCAAAACAGTTCCATGATTTTTTTTAATAAAAATGAAAAGTAGTGCATAATTGGCAACCACTTCCCTACACATCCACTATTCTAGCCTGATAAACAATTTAACACTTACGGATGGTTGTTTTTAAAATAGCCAGCATTTTATCCTGCTGATCCTCACCATGATGCTCAGAAGAAGCAATTTCCTACCAAAAAAAAAAAGTATACTAGACTAAAAGACAGCAACTACACACTTAGCTTGTGGACATGAGAAATGTGTAAGAGCTTTAAATGCAGACATACAATTAGCTATGGGATTCCCTGTTGCTGTTCCTCCAGTTTTGGAAACACGGAGAGAGATACTGCACTAGACTGTCCAAGGCTCTAATCCAGAAAAGTTCTTCCATTCTTCTAACATTCTCCACACAATATCTTGAGTATACTTATACATAAAACACTGACATTATCATATATAACACTGCCTCTCACATTAGTAGACATTACCCAACTAACAAACAATGGGACTGTTTTATTCCAGTTTAACATTTAATTTCAAATATAATTTTTCTAACACTTTCTGCTTTCCTAGGAACTGGGAACCAAACTTGGGGAGAGTCTTAAAGCAACTTTTTAAAAAACTGAAGATCACAAAACACCTTTCTTTTTCTTACTAACATACTGTAATTTAACAATTTCAGATGACAGTTCATTAATGCCAGCTTAATTCTTCATTCCTTTCAAATGAGAAAGGAGCTTCAGTTTCTGCATCCTTTTTCTCCCATGGCACTGAAATTACCAGAACAATTCCCACTTTTTCCCAACTGAATGCCACTACAATACCCTTCATTCTATAGTCACTGGTCACACAGTCCGCATCTTATTGGGGTTACAATCTAATCCATTTGAAGGGAACTGAGTCGGGGGAGGTTTTCTTAAACTTTCTTTACAAAAATTCATGTCAGACCTGAAGCCTATGGAAAATAACACATAACCTCAAAATGTGATTAGGACTGAAGAAAAAAAAAGTTTTTGGAAAGGAGTCCATGTAGCAAGGAAATCTAGTAAATCATGGCTCTTTTATAATGCTCAATTTATCTATCACGTAAATTATATAGTTAGCTGCCCAGATGCAGAACAGTTACATGCAATTGAAAGACAAATTTGGAAGAGCACAGTGAAAGGTCTATACGCTCTAAATTTGTTTATTTTTAAAGTAGTCTACAACAAAGTAACATTAATACATTGATGGTGTGTCATTTTAGACACAAATAAGAGCAACGTACAATAACAAAACATTTAAAAGCAGCTTCAAGTTCACTGCATCATTAAAAGCCTGGGCAAATAAGGCAAACTTAGGTCAGGTGCCTAAATCTTAAACAACATGTGAGAGAATATCAAAGTTAAGGTGCCACCATGGAAAAGCTCTTTCCCTTGCCACTTGCATTCAATGTCTGTTGGCAGAGGCCCCAGGTAAAGAGCTTTTTTTGAAAAAGCTAAGCTAGAAATGACATTGCATGTGGGCAAAGAGTCCTTTAGTCATGAATCTCCACTTTTCCTAGAACTTTTTAAAACTGAAAACTTCCAATGCAGAAACAGTACCTTATAATTTACCTTCATTCTTCTATTCAGGATGATGGAAACATATCAGGTTCTTTTGGCTTATTCATCCACAGTATGATCATTTTAATGGCAAAACCAAGAATGGCAGATATTTCAGATGATAGAGTAAAAACTGCATTTCAGACCTCAATTTGTAAGTACACACTGCTAGTATTCAACTGTCATTATTAGTTATTCAAATTGTAACCAGAATGAGAAAGTAATTTATCACCATGCAAAGAAAAGCAGTGATCAAGGATTAACTGGCATTCTTCTGTGGTTGTTCTCCTGTCAGAAGGTCCCAGTTGACCCTCAGATACATACAGATTGCTTAGCACAAGGATAACCAAAGTAAAGGCAGCCTGCCTAAAAGCTGCTCCCTCTTACCTAGAATACGCTGGCAACTTTGGTTAAAGCAACCCAAATTTTCAACTAAGCCACAATTCACTCAGAAGCTGTTTGGAATTTCAAGGCCCTGTTTTGGAATACAGTATATGAATGGCAAGAGCAGCATCTCTGGCTGCTCATTCTGTGGTTTTCTAACTTCAAGCTACCCACAGAGAGGTCCTAAAGATGGAAACAGGCAAAAACGTGGCCAAATTAGCCCAGAAATGAGCTGTTGTTTTACCATAGTTACTATAAAATATGAAATGCCCTCTGTACATGCTCAGAATACCATGGGATCACTGGGCCATAGGTTCCAGAAGCAAATTCGATATTCCAGACCGGTGATAGGGCCAAGGCCTGATGGAAGGTAATGAAATACTGCAACGAGAAAAGGAGCAATCCTCTCCAGAAACCTTACATTAGGAGAAACCCTGCCCGGTCTGCCCTTCACTTACATAACAGTCCTCTTCAATCGGGAATCCTCGAGGTGCTCTGGACTCCTACTTCCATCACCCTCAGCCAGCCTGGGGGCAATGGGATTTGAATCCAACACATCTGGAAGAGATCAAACCGGGAAAAGCCGGGGCCCGAGACTCACCCCAACGGTTGCAACAGCAGCATTTCCATCGCGGCTCCTCCGCTCGGGCTGCTCCCTCCGAAGAACGCAAGCACCGAACGCCGGGGCCAGCACCATTCCAGCCGCGAACGCTGGGACTCTCCCGGCAGAACGCCCAGGGAGCGGCAAGGCTTTCCTGGACTAGACCAGCCTAGCCTCTCCGGCGAGCGCAGCCCCAGCGCGACCTACTATAGTTTCCTTCCTCCGCTCAAGCGGAGCCAAATGTTAGCACCTACTCACTCCACAGTCTCCTCCAACCCGCTACTTCCGGGGTCTGGACAGGCTTAACCCGATTTATTCTCATCGGAGTGACGTCAACACGTAACTGGGGGGAGTAGGACGAACTCCTACGTCTTCCCCCTCCTCCTCTGCGTGCCTTAATGGGCGCGTGAGAACAAGGTTTGCAATAGAAGCAGCTGGTGTTGGGGTGGATATAGGGAGAACAGAGGAGGGGAAACACAGAAACCCTGCTGCTAAGGATGGTTCTCTGCCGGTTTGAAAATATTTAGTTGAAGGATGTGTCCTCGTCTGTCTTTCCCCCATAGCATTCATAGCTTTCTTCATACCAGGTCCCTGCATACATTTTAAACAACTTCTAGCACTCCCAATGATCAGGGATGGTGTTCCCTAAAACGTAGGGCAGCCAAGGTGGTGAAGCAGTTTAAATGTTGGAATGGCATCTGAGAAACCCAGGTTCAAGTTCACCCTCAAACATGAAAGCTCACTGGGTGAGTTTGGACCATTTGCTCTCTCAGCCAAACCTGCCTCACAGGGTTGATTATAAACTTATCTGAATTTACACTTCAGCCATTTGTGATCTAATGCCTATATGCAAAAGTGTAGGCACTCCTAGTCAAAATGTATGTTTCTGTGAATCCCTAAGTGAACAGACACAATCTCTAAATGGTACCAAGTCACTGTGCTTAGCAGTTGGCAAAAGGTTCCTCTTCACCCTTTTTCTTCATAGGTATCTTGAGTGGTTGTAAATGAATTTTTGTTTAAGTATATTTTTTTTTGCTTTATCAGTTCAAAACACTTTGTTCCAAGATGTTACAGGCATAAAAGTTTTGTTCTGCATACTTTACAAAATCTTTGTAATGAGGTCAGAGAAAAAGTTTCCTTCTGGCGAGTCTTCCATTCAGATCATTGTTATATAAGCAATGCTGTACTTGTGGACCTGTGGACAAGTATTCCAGTGTCAGCTAAACTTTTCAGCAGGTTGTTTGTTGATCTGTGGGTTCTATGTTCCATTGAGATCAACCAAAGGTTCAAATTGTTTTTAAAGGCAGCTGTCATAGGAAGCATTGTACATAGTTCAACCAGAAGCTGGACTTGAATGTCTAATTCAGGACTGAACCCATGAAGAGTAACCAAATAATAAGGTTAAATTATTTGGAAATTATTCAAAATAGAGCCAGTTTGGCCTAGTGGTTAAGGCACCAGGCTAAAAAGCAGGAGACTGTGAGTTCTAGCCCCACCTTAGGCATGAAAGCCAACTGGCTGACTTTGGGCCAGTTACTCTCTCTCAGCCCAGCTCACCTCACAGGGTTGTTGTTGTGGGGAAAATAGGAAGAGGAAGGAGTCTTAGGTATGTTCGCCACCTTGAGTTATTTATAAAAATATTAAAGGTGAGATAAAATACAATCTAAAAATAAAATACAAGATTGCCTTTCCTTCATTTCCACATTTCTTGTACTTTGACTATTTCATAAACTGTCTCCCAAAGTTTGTTTTTGAACAACAATGATCTAGGAATACTTGTTATACAATTTACCTGGGATGTTTTGATCTTTTTTTTTTTTTCCTATTCCAATAGAGCAGAAGGGAAATACAAGTAGAACTGATGCATATGACTGGATTAAAGCTGAAAGGACATCCAGCTGTTGATGTGCCCAAAGGCAAAAAGATTCAAGGTGCTGGTCACTGGCATAGGGCCTGGTTACTTGAGGGATCGCCTATCTCCCATAGTATCTGCCCAGCCAATCCAGTCTGGCAGGGTTGGCATGCTCCGGGCTCCTTCAATTAAATAACGCCATCTATTGGGACCCTGGAAATGCACCTGTAGCAATGCCTACGCTCTGGAATGAGGTTCCCTCTGAGATTCAAACAGCCCCCATCCTACTGGTGTTTCAAAGGGCCCTGAGGACCTGGCTCTTTATCTAGCCCATTGATGAGTGTGATTGAAGCTCCCTTTTCTTCTTTTTTCCCATCTGGGTTTCTTATCTCTGGCATTTTTTTTTTTTTAATCTGCGCTCAGTCGTTACCGACTCTGCAGTGACTGCTTGGACAGAGCCCAGCTGGCGAGCGCAGGAGGCGGGGTTTCCGTTACTTCGCGCGGCTTTTCGCGCTTACCGGCAACTGCTCCCGACCCCTTTTTTGCAAGGCGCTTCCAGCATTTTTCCTCCCACCGG